ACCTCCAGATTCGCAGTACCTGCACTCAGGCCGCGAGACCAATGGGCCGGTCTCTCTTCAAAGTATATTTTTAGGAGAGGTTGCGCGAAGCATCAGATTTTTTCTGAAAAAGATCTCACACAGAAAAAATACTATTACATTTAGTCAGTGTGACCAAATTATCGATCAAAAAGACTTTCCTCAAAGTGAGAAAAANAAGTGGAAAAAATTCAAACAAACATTAATTAAAGAAAATATCAGTTTAAAAGACATCGATTCGACACTAAAAGTAATGATTAACTATAGAAACGCGCTTGCGCATTCTAGACAATATCCACTTAATNTACGAAAGTTAGAACAAAACAATATTGATTAGGATGTAAAAGTGAATGAAACACAAAAAATGTTCAGAATTATCGAACTTACCGTTAATCGGCAGTTTTATTTCTCTATGCGACCTTCTCTTATCACACTGCATACTACAAAAAACAAAAAAAATTGATAAGTAAAATGATATACAGAGTGTCTGATAATGACCGTATAACCGATCGTAGGTAGGTAGAAAGGATTATTCTGAGTCGAAAAATCCTGAACCATTTTTTTCTATTACATATAATAAAGGAGTAATTATTGAATAAAGTAAGCCAATCAGCGCCGACCTTTAGCCGAACGCACGTCAGTGAGCCGCGCGCAATAACAATACACCTACCTACACGTACGTTTTATTTATGTATTGTTTTTCAGGACGAAATGAGAGTAAGGCACACTTGTTTTTTGGATGCGCCAATAAACTACAAAACTTATCTGGCACATCTTGTAAATAGAATTTCCAAGCTGGTGCACATCGAAAAAGTGGAATCTTAAGTGGATGGAATCTAATATAATTTATGACAAACAAAACTACGTCTTTATCGAAGGTGTATTGTTATTGCGACTTATTGTGTCATTGCTCTGACAATGTAATTCTTTCAGAATATAATGAACGGCATAAATGTCCGAAAACCCAATACTGCAAGTACCTAAATTAATTACTGGAGGCCCGACTAAGTTCGGCGATCAATATATTATCGACAATTTTTTGTGGAAAGTAAAAAACCTTGAAAAATAAATATATTCTTTTTTATTTTATACATTTGTTTCTTTCGCGTTATTACATTTGTGTCATAAAAAATAGCTTATTTTCAAATTACAGAATAGATATTCTATTTTAATCTGACGCTATTGTATTATTTTTTTTTATAAAGTACATTTTCTCTCCTTTAAGAAATTATGGTTTTGTTATTTTTTTAAGAATTGTTTGTCTACTCTAAAATTTTTTGAAAATTTCTTGTTTTTTTTTGTATTTGTTGTATTTTGTATTTGTTGTAAAACTTTTTTTTCATTAAATTTAATGATGGTGTCTTAAAATAGACAGTTTAAAGAGTATATACACATTGTTTCAGATTTTTTTAGAAATATTTAATATTTTTAAAAAGCCCAAAACAACAACGACCCATGTCCGGCGAATTAAAGTGCCAAAAAACACGCCGTCCGTTGAGGGTTAAGTTGATCCTCTGTGTCTCTCTCTGTGCGAGTTTTTGAATTTTTCTCGAATCGCGAACTCGCGATGT